TCAGCTTCCTTCAGCTCCTTTTAGCTTCTGCTCATTTCAGCTTTTTTGTCCTCCTTTTAGCTGCTTTCTACTTTTCAGCTACTGCTGTACTTGGTAAACTTTAGCTTGTCCAGAAGCTTTCAGCAGCAATCATCCACGCTGGATTTTAGCGGGAAAGGCAGGTTGTGTTTTGTGTTCATTCAACCTTTATTTCTACAGGTCAGTCCCCTGAGCCTCGGGGACTCTTACAAGAGAGCCCTGAAGTTTCTCAGGCTGTTTGCGTGTGTCGTTCATTCTTCTGTCCTGTTCGTGAGGTGTTTCTTGTGCTTCCTGCTGTCCACAGCTGGCTGAACGTTATGGGAACGTCTTCACCGTTCGCTTCGGCAGAGACACCATGGTGATCGTGTGGGGCTACAAGATGGTGAAGGAGAGCATAGTGGCTCAGGCCGAGAACTTTGTGGACCGGCCGTACAACGCTGTGGCTGACAGGTTCTACTCTGAACCTGAAGGTGCAGCATCTCTTCAGGTTGTTCACACATCACATACGTACGGTTCACACGAGTGACCTTTGGATTTGTGCGCTCTCACATCCAGCTGGTCTCTTCATGAGCAATGGTGAAAAATGGAAGAGACAGCGACGGTTCACTCTGTCCACCCTACGCACCTTCGGCCTGGGCAAGAACATGCTGGAACAGAACATCTGCGAGGAGATCCGATACCTGCAGGAGGAACTGCAGAGGGAGCGAGGTTGTTTTCACTCACTGTGTGGTCAGGTCATGATCCCGTGAAAGCTTTAACCTTCTCCCTCTCTGGCAGGTAAACCGTTCACTCCGGCTGGTCTCTTCAACAACGCCGTGTCCAACGTCATTTGTCAGCTGGTCATGGGGAAAAGATTTGACTACAGCGACCACAGCTTTCAGATCATGCTGAAGTACATGTCCGATTCAATTTGGTTGGAGGGGAGCGTATGGGGTCAGGTGAGTCAGCAGACGGGGGGATGAGATGTTGGATGTTTACTGTCCCCCGTCGCAGAGCAAGAAGAGGGAACTGGAAACCCCCTTCATCTCACGCTGTAAGCGCGATAACGTGAGAAAGAGGCGAGGGACTGATTTTCATTTTGGTATGTGGCTACAGCCAAGAGTAAGAAACGTTCATTTTCAAACCTGGGTGGCCACGTCAAAATCCAAGATGGCTGCCGTCATGTATCCGTCAGTGTTGTGAGATGGATAAAAATAACAATGAGCCGGCTACCATCATCCATCCATCCATCCATCCATCCATCCATCCATCCATCCATCCATCCATCCATCCAGCCACCCACCCATCCATCCATCCATGCATCCATCCATCCATCCATCCATCCATCCATCCATCCATCCATCCATCCATCCATCCATCCAGCCACCCACCCATCCATCCATCCATCCACTCATCCATCCATCCATCCATCCATCCATCCATCCATCCATCCATCCA